TCTTCCTCCAATCCTGATGCCACGTTTTTCTTCATATAACCCAGCTTCTCGGATTATTTGCTCAGCATCCAGGTTGAATGTTGTTGTTAAGTGCCGTTGAGTCAGTTCTGACCCATATCGACCCTGTACAGGGTTTCCAAGGCTGTAAATCTTTATGGGAGCAGAAAGCCTCATCTTTCTCCAGCGGAACAGCTGGTAGTTTTGAACTGCTGACCTTGAAGTTCACAGCCCGATTTGTAACCACTATGCTACCAGAGCTCCTGTATGCTCAGCATACAGGTTGAATAAGTTTAGTGAAATAATACAACCTTGTCTCACACCTTATTCAGCATGACACAGAAGGGAACCAGAATGTATAGTTGAACTGTTGCTAATTGCCCTACTAAAGAAGCAAGGTGGGCAAACCCCACCTTTATCACTAACTGCATGGTTAAGATCACCATGAATCTGATTCTCAGCTGGAATTCCCCAAAAATTCATGGAGACTATTATCTATACTTACAGTAGAGGTATTATAGCCAGAAAGGATACAAGTAAAGAGACACTGGGTAAGGTCTAGAAAAGTTTCCAGCGTGAGGCTTTCCATGTTCCCAGGGTTATGGCATTCCCTCTCCTGTACTCAGATATTTTTATCAATGCAGGAAACCCCAAGGAGAAAGCAATTTAATGAGTTATGTATCACTGGAGCCTGGATATATTTGCATGAACAATGAATATGTAAATTGAAATGGAATGTGTGGCTAATTTAGTCCATGAGCGACTGCTTCATTTTCCATGAAACCAGAAGAACTGGATGGTGCCCAGCTACTATTAATGAACATTTTTATCTAAGATTCTATAAAAGAATCTTAATCAAAGGGGCAAAATGCAGAACAAAATTTCAAATTCTCATGAAATTTAAACTTTCCAGAGCCATGGAGGCTGGATGAATCTTTGAAAACTTGTTGTTGTTATGTGCCGTGCAGTCAGTTCTGACTCTTAGCGACCCTGTACAGGGTTTCCGAGGCTGTAAATCTTTACAGGAGCAGAAAGCCTCATCTTTCTCCTGCGGAACAGCTGGTAGTTTTGAACTGCTGACCTTGTGGTTCGCAGCCCGATTCGTAACCACTACGCTACCAGAGCTCCTAGTGCACTAAAATATTCCTTAAAATTTAAATTAAAAATATTCCCTAAAACCTTCTTAAAACCAAACAGTAGTTTAGCATAGCTAGTAAAGAATGTCTGCCTTAAAGATTATGCTCTTTTAAAGAACAATTTATATGGGATTCAAATTGACAACAGCAACTTGAAAGATTACATAGAAAGCCTAGAGGGCAGTGAGTTTATGCTAATGGTGGCGGATATGTCAGATAAGGAGGGGAGAATGGTTGTATAACTTGAAGAATGTAATCAATGTCACTGAAGTGTGCATGTGTACATATTTGCTTTGTATATTCTCTGCAGCAACAACAATACAATAAAGTAAATTATTTAAAAACGGAGCTCTGGTAATGTAGTGGTTAGAATCCGGCTGCAAACCTCAAGGTCAGCAGTTCGAAACTATCAGCTATTATTGCACAGGAGAAAGATGAGGCTTCTGCTCCCGTAAAGATTTACAGCCTCAGAAACCCTGTACAGGGCAACTCCAAGGCACATAACCAACACCATGAATGACTTCATCATGCCCCATCTCTTTCTGAGGTTCCAAGTCAGGGTATGTAGCCCCTACCATTTACATGTGGTAAGTGTTGCCTGGCTGTTTTAGAAAACAAAGGGGCTCCTTGATTGCTGGATATTTCCAAAGGGCTATTTTCAGAAACCAAACACAAAAGGTCAAATCAAGTTCTTTGTCCCACAATAGTTCTATAGCTCATTTTGGGATTGTGCCCAAGGTCAAGTAGCTAGGATGCAAGCCTGACCAGCCTCACAGCCATGCCTCTATTCATCTCTTCCATTCTGCCTCTACTTTTTTTTTTCCTGTGTGGGCCTGTTCCCTAGATTCTTGTTGAAGCTTAGACTGATATTTTCCAACTTGTTTTGATTTCTGATAATAGCATTGCCACAGCTTGATACTGGGGATTTTTGCATTGGTAATTTAGACAAGGCAAGAGGCTGAGGAATCTTTATCATTGACCTTTGGGCAAAATCTGAAGTCCACGTAAGTAGTAAAGACCATAATTTGACCTCCTGCTGTGGTTAAGTGCCTTTGCATGGGTTCCAACGCATAGCGACTCTGCATAGGGTTTCTTAGGAGGATTTGAACTGCTGACCTTGAAGTTCAAACTGACCTTGTGGTACAATGCACTGTCCTGCAGCGCCACACTATGACCTCCTGAGGCACCAGGTATTACTATTTGTTTCCTGTACCTTGCCTTTACCTATGATCCACAAATGCTTAAAAGTTGGGGGAAAAGGAAAGGCAAGCACAAATGGAGCAAGCAGCATTGTGACCAACAAAAGATTGAAAGCTACCATGGAAAGCCATTTGGCGTCCTGCTGTGGCTCTGTAGGATAAGCACTGCTAACCTTAAGGTCGAAGGTCGATGGTTCACACCCATCAGTCTCTGTTCTGGTCGCTAGAAATCGAAACTCCAGGGACTCCTAATGGAAGGCCGCAGTGCTTTCATTTTGTCTCTTTTCCACCTAGCAACTGATGACACTGCATTTTTCACTGTTCTTATTGGAAGAGGGTCCAGGGTGTTGCTCAATTGCTAAAAGGCCGAGTGGGTGGAGTGTAGATTCTGGAAAGTATCAATGCAGACCAGTGTTTGGGTTAAAAGAATCCGGAAAGAGAGACTTTAGGCGTACTCCTAAATGGTGGTGCTCCTTTTACCTTTCATCATTACATTAATGGTGAAGCACAGCGATGCTCGTGAGTATCCCAAGTTCTTTTCACTCCTCACTCCATAGCTGAGGCAACCTAGGAGGAACAGCATTTCTTTCTAAAACTCGTGGTGAAATAATGACGAAGCGGGGCAGAAAATTGTGTTTACTTAGATGAGGATTCGGAGGAGCAGTGGACTAACAATAATTTTCTAGTTCATGTCTATGGAATTTTGTTACTCACTTTCTGAGGGGGTGTGGAAGCCATTCTGGAAAATCCCTCCTGAGTGAGTTTCTCACTTTCCCTCTGAACACTCTGCTTCTTTTTTCATGCTCATATCCTCTAACATTTCTTTCACCTCTTGTCTAGCTTCATGAGTCTCACAGCATTGTGGTCAAGGTTTCAAGGACATTGAACAGAGGAGCAGATGCATTGTTTGGGTATATTTATTATTTCCTCCTCACCACAAGTCCTAACTGTAACAAAAGATACAAGAAAGATAAAGTTATGTCTCTGGACTTGTTTACTGGGTGTAAGAAATATTAATCAAGTAGAGAGGGGAACTTTTCATTGTTAAAGGGGCCCACGTCACTGGGGAGAGAAATACTTTCTGTTGCCCTGAATACATGAGCAGGCACAGGGATTCTCTGCCCTGAGTAATTGCTCTCCCAGCTGGGGCTGGCATTCCTAGGGGTTTGGCCAGTAGTGTTCAGAACTCAGACTGGGCCACCACCATTGATAGTGACACATGAACATGATGAGAAGGAGCTCTTCCAAATAATTAATGTATAAGTTCCTCAAATATTGATAGATCACCTATTATGTGCCAGGCACTTTTAGGGCTATGACTGTAACAAAACACACATAGTCCCGGCTTCTATAGAAATGTAATATAGAAAGTACCACCATTCAAGTCAGAAATGGGTAAAATTAGAGGTGAAAGTAACAGACAGAGGATAGAAGGAGGAAAAGAGGCAAAGGATGGTATTTACCTTTCCAGAAGTTAAAAAATTTATATATTGGCTGCATGTGATCCTCAAAGAACTCTTCAATAATGTTACAATTGTTGTTAGGGTCCTTTGGGTTGGTTCCAACTCACAGCAACCCCACATACATTAGAATGTAACATTGCCCAGTCCTATGCCATCCTCACAATTATGTTTGAGTCCATTGTTTCTTCCACTATGTCAGCCTGTCTCCTTGAGGGTCTTACTCTTTTTTCGATGACCTCCATTTTACTAGGCATGATGGTCTTTCCTGACAGCACACACAAAGTACAAGAGTCTGGCCCTCCTTACTTCTAAGGAACATTCCAGCTGTACTTCTAAAACAAATTTATTTTTCTGGCAGTCCACAATGCTTTCCGTATTCTTCACCAACACCATAACTTAAATCCATCCATTTTTTCTTCAGTCTTCCTTATTCATTGTCCAACTTTCTAATGCCTATGAGGCGAAAATACTGTGACTTGGGTCAGGAACACCATAATCCTCAAAGTGACATGCTTTTTAGCATTTTAAAGAGGTCTTTTGTAGATTTGCCTAATACAATAGTCATTTGATTTCTTGACTGCTACTTGGTAAAGGAGCTTTGGTAGCTTAGTGGTTACGAATCTGGCTGCTAACCACAGGGACAGCAGTTCGAAATTACCAGCCGTTCCGTGGGAGAAAGATGAGGCTTTTTGTTCCTGTAAAGATTTACAGCCTCGGAAATCCTGTGCAGGGTTGCTATGAGTCAGAACTGACTCCAGGGCACATAACAACAACAACAACTTGTAGTTAAGTGCCTTCGAGTCGATTCCGATTCCGACCCATAACAACCTGTATAGGGTTTCCAAGGAGCAGCTGGTGAGTTTGAACCACACACAGACCTTGAAGTTCAAATGACTTTGCAGCCTGACGCATTAGCCCACAGTGCCACTTACGTGAGTGTTAATTGTGGATCCTAGCAAAATGAAGTCTTCGACAACTTCCTTTTTTCCCTTTATCATAATGTCATTTATTGGTCAAGTTGTGAGGATTTATGTTTTCTTTATATTGAGGTACAATCCATACTGAAGGCTATGGTCTTTGGTCTTCACCAGTAAGGATTTTAAGTCCTCTTCACTTCTAGCAAGCAAGGTTGTATAATCTGCATATTACAGATTGTTAGTGAATCTTCCTCCAATCCAGATGCCACATTCTTCACATGATCCACCTTCTCATATTATTTGTTCAGCATACAAATTGAATAACTATGGCTAAGGGATACAACCCTTGTGCACACCAGTCCTGATTTTAAATCAGTCAGTATCTCCTTGTTCTGTTCTAATGACTGCCTTTTGGTCTATGTTTAGATTCTTCATGAACCCAATTAAGTGTTTTGGAATCCCTATTCTTCCCAATGTTATCCATATTTTGTTATGGTCCACACAGTCGAATGCCTTTGCATAGTCAATAAAGCACAAGTAAACATCTTTCTGGTATCCTGTGCTTTCATTCAAGATCCATCTGACATCAACAGTGATATCCCTCATTCCTCATCCTCTTCTGAATCTGGTTTGAATTTCTGGCAGCTCTCTGTTGATATACTAATGCAACTATTTTTGAATTATTTTTAGCAGAAGTTTACTTGTATGAGATATTAATGATATTGTTCAGTGGCTTACACATTTCATTGGGTTGCTTTTCCCTGGAATGGGCACAAATATGGAACCCTTCCTGTTGGTTGACTAGGTAGCCAGCCTGTCTTCCAAATTTCTGGGCACAGACAAGAGTACCTCCACTTCTGCATCAGTTTGTTTGTTTCAAACTGTATTCCATCAATTCTTGGTGCCTTGTTTTCCCACCAGTTCCTTCAGTATAGCAATTATTGATCATATGTTACCTCTTGAAATGGTTAAACATCGAATAATTATTTTTGGTATAGTGACTCTGTATTCCTTCCATCTTCTTTTGATATTTTCTGCAGTCATTCAGTATTTTGCCCATAGAATTCTTCAATATTGCAACTGCAGGCTTGATTTTTTTCTTCCATTCTTTCAGTTTTTAGTCTTCTTCAGCTGTCCTTTGAAATCTCTGTTCAGCCCTTTTTTTTTTTTTTTTAAATTGTGAACTGAGTGATAGTTTACATGGGAGAACATCGACTTTAGGCCATAGTTTCATTGCAATGATTACAATCTCCGTGCATCATAATTCAAAAGTATTTGCTTCCATTCCCTCTGTTTTCCTTTTTTTTTCAGGGTGAGGGGTGGGGAGATGTACACAAAAACACTCAGGAATATACAATTTAAACAACCAAAGGGCACATTCTGCAAGCCTACCTCCTGGCCACCAGCTCTTAGTCCCTCTCTTCTTAATCCATGAATCTAGAGCCCTCAGCTGCTCCCCCTCTCCATGCCCCCATCTCTGCCTCCAGCTCTGGCGCTGCTGCTTCTCTTGATAAGGTCCCACATTCCCTTGTGCGCTTCTCTCTTGATGGTCCTAGGGTCCTCTGTTTCTGGACTGTAAGGTTAACCACTCTCCTGTTTTTATTACAAAACTTCTACCTTTACAATAGTGATAGTCACAATTAGTCATGATGACAGTTACTCACTATTGAATCATAAGAATCTTATCCCCCATCTCTTTTCACCAGACCCCTCTAGACAAGATGACAGCTATTCAGTGGGGACTCTTTCTTTTCCCCCATACTCTTAAACTAAACTCCCTCTTGAAACCTTGTAAGCCAGTCACTTCGTGCCTTTATTGCCCCTTCATTTTAGGTAGCTAATGTCTAAGTTGCCC